CCTAGTTACTAACACATTGGTCGATCGCTTTGCTTGGTTGCCGAAACCGTCCTCGCTTTCGACCACGACAATTAACGGGATAAAAAATATCACACGGTCCATAGTTAAGTTCTAAATAAGATCACTGGATGGTACGGAAAGTATCGAAGCGGAAGGATCTTTCTCAGTTCCTGGTTTGCCCATACGTCCGTCCGCCAAGGCACTACGACAAGAAGTGAGCAAGTGGTTTCATCTAGCCTGGGTGGGTTTCGCAAAGATCGAAGACCCAATATTATCGCTACTCATTGGTAGTGATGCAGCTGAAGCTCACTGAGTGTTGAGACAGAGATTAGGTCAGAAACAACATAACGCAGTCAATACCCTACTCGGTTGGGTTCTATTTGGTCCGCTTGGACCAGACAAGCGAATGATGGATACTGTAAATTGCCTGGAGACAGATGAAACCTCTATGGACGACCAACTAAAGTGGTTGCATAACACAGAGTTCACGGACGTAGAATCCTATAGGCGGTCACTTTCCGCTGAGGATGCCACGGTTCTAGATATGGTTAAAATGGAGAGGAGTTCGAATGACGGTCACTACGTCATCCCATTACCGTGATGCGATGCTGTTGGGCTGGTAATACAATCGACCGCTTTCAGAAGACTACTGATTCTCAAGTAACAGTTCCCTCTCTATGAAGTCTTTTTGCTGAAATGGGCTGAAGTCGTGGAGAAAGCCCTAGCTAAAGGATAAGCGGTCAAAGTTTCTCCCGAACAGTAAGTAACAATATTTTCACCTCGTTGGTATCTGCCTCACTATGCTGTAATTAATCGTAGAAAACCCGATAAGCTAAGGCTCGTCCGTAATTGTATAGCTGAGTTCCGAGGCATATTGTTAAACGATCAATGGTATCAGGGACCCAACCTTATTACCGAACTGGCCTGGGTCCTCCTACAGTTTTGTAAACATCTGCTAGCCTTGACAGCGGACGTAGATGTTTGTATGAATTTTTGTGTCAGAAACTGGGGTGCGTTGCGCTTTTGTGGTGGCCCGACCATGATATGTCAAAGAAAGCACTTGGATATCAAATGGTTGTTCATCCATTCGGAGCGACTTCGTCGCCATTTTGCGCCACCTACGCTATTCGTAAGACAGCGATTGATTTCGGTCATCTGTATGACGGTCCAGTAACAGAAGCAGTTCTGAGCAACTTATACGTGGACAACTGTCTGATAGCAGTACGTAGCGTAAACAAGTTGCACAACAGACTTGCCAAGTACTAGCCAAAGGTTTCAGATTGTGAAAATGGGTACCTAACAAACCAGTTTCGCTAGAATCTATTCGGCTATCCAAACTTTCCCGGGATTCCAAGGAGATTTACGATAGAGCAGATTTAAACGAGCGTGTACTGGATATTGAAAGGAATGCCGAATCCAATCAGTTTTTTGTTTAGACTCATGTTCCGCTAAATTGAAGTAGAATTCTGTCTTCCGTGTCCTCCCTATTTGACCAATTTGGGCTAGTGTATCTTTTGTTTCAATCAGTAAGAATGTCGTTGCAGAGGCTGCGTAAAGCACAATTGAGGTGGGATGACCACATCAACCCATCAGAAGAAGAATAATGACAGCACTGGGTCGACCGCATGACAGCCCATGCCGAAATCTCTATTCCCATTGCGACAAGACTGGATCTTAACATGGTGCGATGATTTGCGGACTTCCGTGACGCATTGAGCTACGCTGGATGGCAGTTTCCGAGTGCCTTCAGAGCCACTCATACCAAACAGCTCTATGGATATAGATCAAACGAATTCAGTCTAACACTCGTCTTCGGAGGTTAGCGAGAAGTCGATGGCACTTTACCCTTAAAATCTGGAGATGAGAGACAGCAGGTTTACGGGTTATAAGCTCACAGCGCGATCAGCGTAGGGCACCAACAAGTACTCAATGGTCTGTTACCACCCGCCTCAAGTCACCTGGTCAAAATAGTGCGTCTGGCCATGGTCGGAGGTGCGCAACATACTACGGTCATAAACAACTGTGGATCGTTCTAAATCACTGAAAGCTACGTGTGATAGGCCACAAACTGGACTTGCTCTCCGCTGCATTGTAGGTCAGGCCATTGATCCAAGGGCTCCCGGTGGTCTACAAGGGAAGATCCATCTACCTCACTGCCTTGTGAGTCAAACTGTTGAGACAAAGGCTAAAGATAAGGCACCTAGAACAAAAACCCCTCTTTCGGAATGGGCAGCCGGTGAGTATGATCTGCCCTCTCCCCCCTGTCGACAATACTCTCTCTTCTATCCTCCCTCACAGCTCCGCACTTCCCCGTCTATCGATCACGAGACTGCCCCTGAATGCGCAGCGGTTGCTATCGATACATGTAACTCGGTCCTCGAACCAGATGTCCCATATCACAATGGTTCTGTTAGCGCCGACACTCCTGGTCAGACTGACCAAAAGGCAGCATTAACACCCACCTTTCACTTTTAGCATTGAGCTGCGCTGTGTCTCTGAAGCACGCACCCAAGATAACAGTGTTGTGAAGTATCTTCGACTACCTGATTCCGAATATAACGACAATTACTACGCTCTTCGTGTGTCTGGCAATATTGAGTCAATGGCCCGATGGAGTTGTGGTTCAGCAACGTGCATAGTAAAAATGCTGAAGGAAATCTACTCGACTGGATAGAAGCGAACACCCACACGTGTGTGGTTCGACTTCGAACCTCTATTGGGGTTAACAAGCATGGTCTGAAATCCAAGTGTCTTTTAATCGCCTCCGTTTATACCCTCACTGACCACAGTTGGAAGCGTATCGAAGAGGATTTCTAAAGTGAACTCTCATCTCTTTTCCGCGTGGCGAAAAACACTGGTATCGTGTTTGTCGCTATAGACATGAATACTCGGTAGAACACTTAGTGGTCTGTGCACGCCGAACTAACAATGGTGATCGATTCCCGCAACTATGCGCCGAACACAATCTTTAAATTAGCAACACTGCTTTCAAGCACACGCGTTCAATTTATGTCGCCGGACATAATTTGAATTCTTCGATGTCCTGGACATCATATTGCCATCAGTCACAAAAGGCCCACAACAGTTCAAGACTTCAGTTCAAATTGGAACACGTGCCTGAATTTCGACCATAGTCAAGTGTGCGCACGTCTGGCGCTCACTCTTCCCGCTTCGAAGCTTGTCACCACAAAGTGAACACAAAGTCCGTAGTTCAGCAATATCATGACGAACTAGCCCACCACTTGTCAGTGATGAATGAAGTTGGTGCATCAAACGCTGACTGGAATCGTCTCAAGCGTGATGCCTGGTGTACACCCAACTTGAGGCGTCAGAACTGAGATCAGATCTCTGAGGCATCGATCGGCTTGATCGAAACACGGAAACCGATTCCAATTGGTAATGAGTTTCAGCGAGCTCGTAACACCATGAAACGACTACCGACAAGGAGTCTTCGAATTGACCGAGAAGACTGGTGGGTGGCAATGGCCCTTAAGATGGAGAAAGCCAGTGCTCTTGGGAACGGCTGAGTGCTATTCCAGCTCATCCGGAACATGGGTTCGAGAAAGCGCCCAGTTAGTGAGAAAACAACCGAGGAAAAAGTACGGTGGATACATTCGCAGCCTTGTCGACTAGCTCATTAGGCAGGGAATTTTGTAGAGCAATTTACCAGGTCTGCCGCGACACTGCAGTTGGCGGAAACCTGAGTCCGCGTGGAAAGTCGGTGTCACGGATCTCACTTGCCGTGTTGAAACAAAATAAAGATCCCGGACCCGACGGTATACCTCCATCTTTGCTAAAAGATGGTAACTCTTTGTTGACTTAACTTACTGCTCTATTCAACATGATTTGGGACAGTGAAGTGGCAACTGTTAATTACCGTACCATATTCAAAAAGTCTATGAACTTTGTGCGAAAATCGTTGAGGTGTTAGATCTCTTTCCACTGCTTTCAAACTTCTCATGGATAATAATCTTTGGTAACTTAGTGGTTCCCGGAGAACCAGGCTACCTTCCGCCTATATTGTAGTTGCCTAGAGCACATATTTATTCCTCGTCAAGTATTAGAGCCAAGACACAAAGATGACCGAATATGGTGCTTTTACTGGACGAGAAAGTCGCTTTCGAATCCGGTGATCGTGAGAGTTGGTGGCGTTGCCAATATGTAGGGGTAGTGCATAAAAAAACTCTTTTTCATTCTGAAAGATCTGTGCCCTGACTAGCGTCGCCGGGTTAGGGTCTACAGGAAACTGTATGCTGAATTCCCCACGACAAGTGGAATTCGCCAGGGTTGTCCAATATCTCCTTTCCTCTTCAACTTTGTCTTCAAATGGATCAGGAATGACTCGTTTCTTTCAGACTTTATGGGCGTGGAAGTTTTGCTAGATTACCGACTGACAGAGTTAGTGTATGCGAACGACATAGCTCTCTATGGGCTTGACGCAGATTAAGCAAGCACTACAGAGTAGCGCTGAGGCGTAGCCCTGTACGCGTCGGTATATGGTTTGAATCTTCAAAGCGCAAAATATTGTTGCAAAACTGGACCGCTATGTCACTGATTTTAGCCATCCGTGAACAGCCACTGGAAGTGGTACATCACCTCGCTTATAGTATAGAGTATTTTGGTAGGTTTTCCTGACTGAAGGCAAAGGTACTGAGTTTCCATTTGAGGGGGAAGTTGTACACGACTCCCAGTCAGGTTCATCGACAGTGGGCCTTGCCCAATTGAGGCGCTACATGGGTACCTATAGAGTGGAATACATTTATGTACTTGGAAGTGTTAGTGCCTCAATTGCGTCTACACTTACGTGCGAAAAGATGCAATGAGAATAGCATATAAAATGCTGAGTTTCTGTTGTGGGGTAGGATTGAAACATAATGTAGCCCAAAGGATAAAATGGGGGCTCCTAAGGCAATTCGAAAGTACGCACAGGCTTGCAGAATGATGAGGCAACATGAGGTCAGTGAAACAACTGAAGTAAGCAACGTCAACTGTCAACTTACACAGTTCGAGTAATGACGTCCGTTGATTTGCGACTTCCGATGAGCGTATATTTTCTGCCGAGTTTGCCCTGTGGTCGAAACACCCGCAAGAACATTCACAATAGCAGATATAATTGTCAGGACGGAGAACATTATACCAATTATTTGAAATACACGGGGTCTGAAAAGAAAACCAGGGAAACAAATGAGAGATGTTTCAGAGCTAGAAGCGCAAAGACAGAAAATCGCAACGAATGGAAACCTGTAGTACACTTGGAAACACATTTTCAGTACCGTACAAGATTGGATTTTACTGCTGTTTGAACCTTCACAATGTCCATCTGTTTTACTGACGGCACTTCTGTTTTCATAAACTGCTGTCGTGAGTCCCGTGCTACACTGTTCCTTGTCCCGGTTGATTCGCTACCTATTTTTGTAGCCTGCACAATACACGTTGGGTCCAGCTGCCTCTAACTTCTCGAATATCCCGTATTTGACATGTCTTTGTTACCGACTGGTATCCCAAGTGTCACCCAACAATTGAAAACCCCAGTCCAGAACACAGCGCCCGCCATTTTGAATTTTCACTCTGGTGAGCGCGTTCCAATTACCTGGTGATTCATTAATTGTGATCATTGTGTTTTCTCATCTGCTGCATTTTTTATACGCTTTTTGCAAGGAATTATCCAGAGGACAAACCATCACCATACATGGTTAGCACCGTAGAGCGTGCCATGGTCAATACCGTTGAGTCAGCCCATACACCTTTTTGAAGAGTGATTCTTCTTTATGGTTCTTGAACTTAGAATCTATTTTTATAATCGTAGGAGTACTTCCAACTTCTCTATGTATAACCAGTTAATATTTCGCCTTCCTCAAATTATAACCTCGCACGTGAGAAACATCATATTTTACCCCCCTTGTAATGAAATAAAGAAATCTTAAACAGCGAATTACGCCTGCTGAGAAGGTCCGTCTGCAGAAACTAGTTAGTGATCTACAAGCAGGAGATAGGATGCCCTCAGCTTTGTTGCGGGAAATGAAACAACTCATTGGCACATCCAACATGCACGTAGGAATTCTCCGCAAACAGTGGATGCGACGCCTCCCTGAAAGAATTCAGGCCATCCTTTCAGTAGCAAGTGACCCGCCACTCACAGTATTTGCAGATCTAGCAGACCGTGTCGTCGAACGGCATTCGTCAGAGGCTGAATTCAGAGCACCCACGCAGGTTAGCGCTGGACCAACATCAGCGACACCCGCGACTAGTGGGCCATGGGGAATAAACGCCTTGTCATCACAGATAGCGTCGCCTCAGTGTCACATCGAAAAGCTCACTTTAAATCGTAAACATCACAGCCGCTCTAGATCATCACCCTGTCACAAAATACCTGATGTCACAGGTTATTGATTTTACCACTTGCGTCTCGGTAATAAAACCTGTAAGTGTCAAGACTCAAAGTCGTTGTTGCATCTACATTAGGGATTATGATTCCTAGACCCAAGTCTTAGTTGGTACCGGGGCGGAAGTCAGCGTCACCCCCTTATGTCAGATGAACTTACCGCCTCTTTGTCAACAAGCCTAAGTGCTGCCAATAGTACACCAATAGCCACTTCGGTCATCGGTCGTTTACACCGGACTTGTCTTCGGCGCACGTTCCGCTGGGAATTCATCGTTGTTGCAGTCCCCTTTCCCACCAACAGCATTGACTTTTTCAGGCATTTCGACCTCTTGATCGACACGACACTGCAACGAAACTCAGTGTACGTGGCATAAACACTGACAACGCGTCTATCACCCCGTTCTACGCCTTTCCCCAGACCTCACCAGACTACATCAACCTCTTCTTCCTAATATTCCAGTAAGATCGATCTGGTGCGCGCCTATCCCCAGATACATGTAGAAGAAAACGAGATACCTGAAACAGCCGTCATCACTCCTTTTGACATGTTCGAATTTTTAAGAACGCCATTCGAACTATGCAACGCCGCAAACCTTCCAACGCTTCATCCACGATGTCATTCCTGATCTAGACTTCGCTTATGCCTAGCTCGGTGATAGTTTAGTAGCGTTCATCGGAAGAGGAGCATCTCGCCCACCTTAAAGCGCTGACCCACCACGGTGTCATAGTCAACCAGACTAAGTGTGAACCCGGTGAGTCAACGGTAGAAATCCTAGGCCACCTCATCACATCGTCTGGAATCGAAGTTCTGCCTGATAAAACCCAGCCAATTAAGGACTCCCAACTCGGACCCCATCAAAGCACCACTATCGATTTTGGGGCATGGTCAACTACTATCGACACTTCATTTCTAGCTGCGCTCAGATCATGCAACCCTTGACTGACCTACACTGAGGGAATGAACGTAAGTTCACTTTTCGGGATACAACACAGACAGCCATCTCCAGCATAGCTCTCCTTGCTCATTCCGAATCAACTTTATTATGAATGTTGCCTCAAACGTCGCGGTAGGAGCTGCCTCCAACAACACGTTGGTGGGCAATGAGAACCACTTGAGTTCTTTTCTATACGCCTGCAGTCAGTGGAATGCCGCTACAGAACGTCTGGCAGAGAACTACTCGTCAGTTACCTAGTCATTCATCACTTCCGACACACGCGAAAGTCACGCTCCAAGGCCTATACTGACCACAGGCTCCTCATCTTCGCCTTCAATTCTGCCTCTGACAAATACCCCAAGGGAAACTAGACACCCAGGTTAGTCACGCAGTTCACTGCTGACATACGTCACGTCTCAGGTGTCGACAATCCCATCGCCGCGGCTCTACCACGCGTCAAGCTAACCCTGCAGACTTTGACTACCGTCGACCTTGCCACCATGGTATTCGCTCAGGCTGAAAATGAAGATCTCCAACGTACCCTGCAGTCCATTTCACTACATGTGCGACCTGTTACTCATCAAACCACGTAAGGAATCATCCTCTGTGACACTTCCACAAGTTATCCTAGACCCCTCGTTCCCGTCTCCTTCAGAGGTACGGTCTTCGACGCGCTCCAATCACTGTCACATCCCAGTATATAAGTAAAGTCAAAAACTGCGTTATGCACCTAAATATATATATATATATATATATGCAGCAATCTATATACTAGACGTTGAGCCATCTGGAAATCATGAAAACCACGACGGGGTCTTTAAATTGCCCGCTGCCGTTACCGCTTGGAATATTGTTTATTTTACGCTATCTACTGCGGACCTATAACTTTTGTTTAATTTTACCAGTTTTGTTTAACTGAACCATATCCCAGTTACCTATGTTGTCCTACAGTGCCAATTTCTCGAAATCATTTCGAAGTGCGGCACATAAAAGACCCTTCGTCGACTACGGTCAAAAAGCCAAGAACACTTTCAAACGGATTGTGAGAAAACATTAGGGTAACATGGAACATCGCGCTGGTTGGAAAAATGGCCTTCGATGATGCCCTTTGCAGAAAATGTAATTACCACTCATCCACTCGAGCAACGTGTGTTCATTGATAGGGAAAATCACTGACCTCACAGTTCTTATACAACGAAAGGAATATACAAACACAGGTATTAGAACGTTACAAGAAAGCTGGTTGTAGCCTGAAATTGAAGATGGTTATAAACGTTGTATCAAGAAAGCCGTAGGAAAGGTAAAATGTATCTCGCAAAATTAACGATGTACATGAGTCAATCCCTTGTTAAACGGAGAGTCAAGCGACAGACGCACACAATCAATAGTGATGAGTCAGCAAGCCAACCAATGAGATCGAGCCAATCGATGTTGCTGACATGGTTACCACATTATCGTTCCCCCTCCGAAAAGCTGCCTCAACCGGGTTCGTAGCGATCAATAGGTTTCACCGTTCTCGCGGACCGACGCAGCTGGCTTCGTGGTAATGGTAACTCAGCCGGGTCTTCGCGCGCGGATCGGTCGGGCTGATTAGCTGGTCCGTGAGCTGTGTGGAGTCGACGCGCGTTGACAATTAAGCCGTTCTCCAATCGATAGGTGCCCGGGCCAAGCGTACGGTCGATGCGCAGTGGAGCGGAAAGCGAAGGTGTTGATAATTTAGCGTAGGAATTTTGGTAAGATGCTATGCGATTTGAAACTTCGGCATCTCTCGCTGATAAAACGTTATGTGCAGCATTTAACTTTGTGCGTAAGGGCCTTCCTAGCATCAGCTCCGCTGGCGTTCTTCCGGTGGCTCTGTGGTCACATGTTCCGTAGGAAAAAACCGCAGTTAAAACTGCATCCTCCCAGTCCGAACCTCCTATGTGTATGGGTTGTATAGCTTCCTTTAAAGACCGGTTCAAACGTACGACCATGCCGTTGGCTGCAGGATTGTAGGGCGCAGTTCTGGAGTGCTTAATGTTATGGCAATGTAGAAAATCTGCGAATTCGCGGCTACAAAATTGTGGCCCGTTATCCGTTACTATTTCACGCGGTAAACCGAAACGGCTGAACAAGTGTTTAAGCCAACGTAACACAACCGAAGTAGTAACTTGGTCGCACATGTGTACTTCAGGCCATCTACTGTAAAAACATGTAGCAACAAGTAGATTTCGCTTATTCGTAGGAGCAATAGCGAAAGGGCCCATAATATCAATGGCGATTTTGGTCCATGGTTTCATCGGGTAAGCAATTGGCTGTGTCGGGGCTTTAACGGGCAAAGAACTTTTGTCCGCTAATCGGCAAGCATTGCAATTGACCACAAATGTCTCAATGCTAGATGCCATTCGTGGCCACCAGAAATAGAGTCTTACTCGATTTTTGGTCCGAACTATACCTGGATGTCCCTCATGTGCGCAAGCTATTATCTTGGCTATCAACTGGGACGGAGCTACAAACACCGAACCGCGCATCAGGCAACCGTCTACCACTGATAGTTCATGTCGAATTGCATAATACGGAATGAACTCACCGGGGATTTTGTTATTCTTGGGCCAGCCCTGCTGCACATATTCAATAATCTCATGCAGTAAAAAATCGTTAGAATTTTCCCTTCGTAGTTCCTCGATCGTCAAGGCCGACAGGTTAGCTCCGAGACTGGAAACTAGTACCGCCTCTCTGAGTCTCTTTTTCATCCTCCAACCCCACGGGTAAGCGAGATAGGCCGTCAGCAATCTGATTTTGCAAACCTGGCCGGTACACAATTACAAAATCGTAGTTAAGGAGTCTGGCATACCAGCGATCGA